GAGGGGAAGGGATTTGAAGACTGCAGGAGCCCAAGCATCCTCAATGTCTGTACAAAATCTGTCCACCAAGTGCTAGACACCTGAGTTTCATGGCATTTTTTGTTTGTTTGTTTGTTTGTTTGTTTGTTTTGTTTTTTTATCTTCACCTGAGGACATTTTTCCATTTTTTGTTCAGGTAGAGTGGGAGGGAGAGAGAGGAACAGAGAGAGAGAGAGAGAAACATCGATGCGAAAGGGGCACATCGAGTGGCTGCCACCCGCACGACCAACCAGGGCCGGGGACAAACTGCAACCGAGGTACGCGCCCTTAGCGGGGACCGAACCCGGGTCTCTCAGGACCACAGGCCGACGCTCTAACCACTGAGCCAAACCGGCCAGGGCTCATGGCATTTTTAAACATAATTTTATTTGGTCCATGAATGTATTTTATCTTCCATATAACTGTAAGAACGTTGGAAAAGAGGAGATAAGCCACCCATACTTAAACACGAGTGACTTTTCTCTTAATTATTTGGATTTGCGTGTCCTGTTTGCAAAGAAAAAGGGTGATATAATTATCCACAAAAATGCTCATACGTTACTGTACAAACTGGAATATCACCTTTTGTCAGGATCATTGCAATAACCTCTCATTTGCACCCCCTGCTTCTGCCCATTCAGTCTGAACCCAGCAATCAGAAGCCTTCTGACATATAAGTCAGACGCTGTCACTTCCCTTCTCGAAGTTTTCCAGTGGCTTTCCATCTCTCTCCAAGGAAGGGTGAGCCCTTCCAATGGCCCGCAAGGTCCTATGGCACCCGTCGCCCACTCCTTTTACCCCCTCTGACCTCACTTCCTCCTGCCAGGCTTACTCAGCTCCAGCCGCTCTGACCTCTGCCTACAACATTGCTGCCTAGATACCCCTGTGCTCGCTCCTTCCCCAACTTCAAACCTTCACTCCAGTGGCAACTTCTCCAAGATGCCTTCTCTGGCCACATTTTCAAACCATAGCCCCCATCACTGGCATGCCCTATCCCCCTTCTCTGCTATATTTTCCTCCATTCCAATGATCTCCATGAAGCTACTATACATTTTACGTAGTCGGACAGTCTGTGTCTCTCCCCACTAGAACGTAGGGCAGAAATGTTGGCATTTTGTTCGCTGTAGCATCCCCAGCACATAGAACAGAACATGGTACATAGCAGACAATAAAACAAAAGTATGCATTGAATGTCTAATCATCATAACCTAAAAATAATGATGTTATGCTGGGCTAAAATATATTTACTGAAAACTAAACAGTGAATAAATGTGGGGTTTTCTTCCAGAATTCTATGTTGAAAACCAGCTCTTCCCCTGAAGCCTCTCACTTGACTGCTTCCTTTCTTAATCAGAAAATTGCAATGAGCCAGAGGGGTTTGTAACTTTCCCACTTCTGACAGTAATAGTCAAAACTAGGACAGAGGATTCTCACTGTTGGCATTTTATAAATCCTATGATTTTTAAAAAGTGCATATTTGCCTGAAGTAACATCTTTTGAAAGTAATTCTCAAGTCTCCCCTCTCAGGTTAGAAATAGTAAAAAAATTCCAGACTAAAGAATGAGCTCAGTCAATTACAAAAAGAAAACTAAAAAAACCCCCACAAACATACTGAGGCTAAATAACATGCTACTAAATAATGAATGGGCTAACAACAAGATCAAGGAAGAAATCAAAAGATACCTGAGACAAATGAAAATAAAAACACAACACAAAATCTTTAGGACACAGACAAAGCAGTTCTAAGAGGAAAATGTATAGTAATACAGGCTACCTCAAGAAACAAGAATAATCTCAAATAAATAATCTAACTTTACACCTAAAGAAACCAGAAAAAGAACAACAAACATAGCCCCAAATGAGAAGGAAGGAATTAATAAAGATCAGAGCAGATATACAATATAGAATCCCAAAACAAACAATACAAAAAGGTCAGTAAAACCAAAAATTGGCTCTTTGAAAGCACAAACAAAACTGATAAACTTTTAGCTAGATTCATCAAGACAAAAAGAGAGAGGGCCCAAATGAATAAAATCAGCAATGAAAGAGAAGATTATAAGGAAATATTACAAACAATTATATGCCAACAAATTGGACAATCTGGGAGAAATAGACAAATTACTAGAAACACACACTTGTCCAAGGATGAAGAACAAAGAAACAGAAAATCTGAAAAGACTAATAATTACTAAATACTTGAATCAGTAATAAAAACAAACAAACAAACAAACAAAATAAAAACCTCCCAACAAACAAAAGTCCTGGACCAGATGGCTTCACTGGTGAATTTTACCAAACATTCAAAGAATTATTACCTATCCGTCTCAAACTATTCCAAAATTAAAGAGGAGGGAAAACTCCCAAGCTAATTTTAGGAGGCCAGCATTACCCTGATATAAAGGCCATGTACAACAAAACCACAGCTAACATCATACTCAATAGTGAAAAGCTGAAAGCATTTTCTTTAAGATCAGGAACAAGCCCTGGCCAGTTTTGCTCAGCGGTTAGAGCGTCGACCTGCGGCCCTGAGAGACCCGGGTTCGGTTCCCGCTAAGGGCATGTACCTCGGTTGCAGTTTGTCCCTGGCCCTGGTCGGTCGTGCGGGTGGCAGCCACTCGATGTGTTCCTTTCACATCAATGTTTCTCTCTCTCTCTCTGTTCCTCTCTCTCCCTCCCACTCTACCTGAACAAAAAAATGGGAAAATGTCCTCGGGTGAGGATAAAAAAACAAAAACAAAAATTAAGATCAGGAACAAGAGCCCTGGCTGGTGTGGCTCAGTTGGTTGGGGCACTGTCCCATATACCAAAGGGTGGTGGATTTGATTCCCAGTCAGGGCACATATCCAGGTTGCAAGCTCCATCCTCTCTCTGGGCACAAACAGGAGGCAACCATTCGACGTCTCTGTCTCTGTTTCTCTCTCTCTCTCAAATTGATTTTTTAAAATCTTAAAAAAAAAGAGAAATACACAGGAACAAGAAAAGAATGTCCACTTTCACCACTTCTATTCAACAATAGTATTAGAAGTGGTAGCCACAACAATCAGACAAGAAAAAAAAAGAGCATCCAAATTGGAAAGGAAGAAGTAAAACTCATATTTTCAGATGACATGATATTATATATAGACAACCTTAACCATTCCACAAAAAAACTAATAGAACTGCTAAATGATTTCAGTAAAGTAGCAGGATAAACAATTAATATTCAGAAATCGGTTGCATTTTATGCCAATAACAAATTATTAGAAAGATAAATTAAGAAAACAATCCCATTTACAATGACATTAAAAAACAAACATAACACCTGGAAACAAATTTAAATAAGGCGGTAAAAAAAAACCTATACTTAAAAAAACTATAAAACATTAAAGAAAGATATTAAAGAAGATACAAATAAATGGAAAAATATACCATGTTTATGGATAGTAAGACTTATTTTTGTTAAAATGTTCACACTACCCAAAGGAATCTACAGGTTCATCACAATCCCTATCAAAACAACAACAAAAACAAAAAAAACAACCTACTGAATGGAAGAAGAATTTCACCAATGGCACATCCAATAAGAAGTTAATGTTCAAAACATATAAGTAGCTCATACAACTTAACATCCAAAAACAAACAATCCAATTAAAAAATGGCCAGAGGGTCCTGGCCAGTTTGGCTCAGTGGTTGGAGTGTTTGCCCTTGGACCAATGAGTTGCAGGTTCGATTCTGGCCAACAGCATGTACCTCGGTTGTGGTTCATCCCTGGCTGTGGTTGGGTCGTGCAGGAGACAACCAGTCAATGTGGCTCTATCACATCGATGTTTCTCTCTCTCTCTCTCTCTCTCTCTCTCTCTCTCTCACTCCCTCCCCCTCCCTCCCTCCCACTCTATCTGATGATACATAGAAAAAAAAAAGTATCCTGGGGTAAGGAATTAAAAAAAAAAAAAATGGCCAGAGGACTGAAGAGACATTTCTCCAAAGAGGAACAATGAATATATGAAAAGTTGCTCAACTAATTATCATGGAAATGCAAATTAAAACCATAATGAGATATCACCTCACACATGTCAGAATGGTTATCATCAATAAATCAACAAGTGTGGCAAGGATATGGAGAAAAGGGGAACCTCGTGCACTGTTCATGGGATTGTAAATTCATGCAGCCATTATGGGAAACAGTATGGAGTTACCTCAAAAAATAAAAAATAGAACTACCATATGGCTCAGCAATTCAACTTCTGGATATATACCTGAAGAAATGCAAAATACTAATTAGAAAAGACATATGCATCCCTATGTTCATTGCAGCATTATTTACAAGAGCCAAGACATGGAAGCAACCTAAGTATCCACTGGCAGACTATGGATCAAGAAGATGTGGTACATATATACAATGGAATATCACTCAGCCATAAAAAAGAATGAAATCTTGCCATTTGCAACAACATGGATGGATCTAAAGGGAATGTCACACTAAGTGAAATGTCAGACAGAAAAAGACAAATACCATATAATTTCACTTACATGTAGAATCTATAAAACAAAATAAATGAACATGCAAAACAGAAACAAACTCTTAAAATACAGAGACAAACTGATGGGTGACAGATGGAAAGGAGGTTAGAGGGCTGGGTGAAAACGGGGAAGAGATCAAGATGTACAAATCGCCAGTAACACAGTCACAGAGATGTAAAGTACAGCACAGGGGATATTGTCAATATAATAACCATGTGTGGGGTCAGATGGGTACTAGACTCATCAGGGTGTTCACTTCATAAGTTATATAAATATCTAATCACTATGTTGTACACCTGAAACTAATATAATATTGTGTGTCAACTGTAATAACAATTTTTTTTTAATTTTTAAGTTTTAGCACAAGCATTCCATAATGTTTATTGATTTGCCAAGTTTCCATGGGTCACTCTTTTAACAAAGATCCAACTTTAAATGTGAGACACGTCAAAATCCAAAGTGCCAAACAAAATTCCCCTTACCTGTCCACAGCGTGTCCAAGGAGCTGCTGCAGGTCCACCTCCTGCTTCCTCAGGCTTCCAAACGAGGACTGACTCTGCACCAGGCCTTTGCCTCCAACATTCAGCTTGACCTTCCCCAATGCCGTCTCGATGGTCCCACTCACATGGTTTTCAAACTTGCCCTCGTATTTCACAAAGTCCGACTCCACGACCACTGGGGTGAACGAGACATGTAAGGGAATCTGATGACGACACGGCCCCCTCTGTGCCTTAGATCACCTAGCTTTCCCATCCTGGGGAGCCCCGTGGGAAACATGAGGCCGGCATCCCAAATGGAAAGGTGGCCACATGCTGTGTGTGTGGGCACAGGAAAAGGCATCAGCACACCTGAGTGCTGACCCGCTGGCATGCATGGATGGCCTGGGGCTCTAATGGGTGTCTTTTTGGTTTTTCATCTTCAATTATAATACATACATGTATAAACAAGTACACACACAGTATCTGTAGAATTTAATGATTTTTTTAAATGTTTTAATTGATTTTTTTAGGGAGAGATAGAAACATCAATCAGCTGCCTCCTGCACGCCCCCTACTGGGGATCAAACCAGAAATCTGGGTGTGTGTCATGACTGGGAATCCAACTGGGATCTCTCAGTCCATGGGATGACGCTCAATCCACTGAGCCACAACAGCCAGACTAATGAATATTTTTTAAGTAAACATCCATTTAACCACTATTTTAGGGAAGAATGAGAACTTTTTTTTTTGTAATCCTCATCCAAGGATATTTTTCCATTTATCTTCAGATAGAGTGGGAGGGAGGGAGGAAGGAAAAGAGAGAGAGAGAGACATCGATTGGTTGCCTCCCACACGACACTGATGGGGGGTGGGGCGTGGGGAAGGTGGGACCCCCAACGCTCTAACTGCTGAGCCAAACCGGCCAGGGCAGATCTAGAACATTTTAAATGTGTGCTATTCTAGGGTGAAGGGACTAGATGAAGATGACGTGAAAACAGAAAAGAGCAGGTCCAGCCCAGGACACACGCGAGTGGCCTGCCTTACTCAGTGTCCGGCAGGTTGGCCACCTGGATTTCTCCTTGGGGATCTTCCCGTCCCACCCACCAGTCTTGGAGAACATTCTCCCGGCCTTCATTGCCATCTCCCTGCAAATAATTCCCTTCCCAGGCTTATCTGTTTGCATCTGACCTCTACCCAGTTGCTCAGTTCCTTGTCAGCAATCTCTTATCTCCAACAGCCGCGGGCACGCCCTTTCTCCCCCCTCAAACACCATCCGGGAACACACAAGCTCAGACTCCATGCTTCCCTCCTGGCCCCCTAGACACTAAGGACGATGCTACCACCCAGGGGTGTGCTGGCTTCACTCAAGTCTCCTGGGAACTCCATGCTCCTCGGCTGGTCATATCCATGACTGCAGCAGACGGCCTTCGAGGTCTGCCCTTCTTATCTGAACACTGACGATAAACATCTGATGACCTCCTCCCTGAACTGCCGGTCTCCAGATTGCTACTGCTTAGATTTTTAACCCAACCAAATGTGACCAGAAAAATAGTCTCCGTCCTCTTCACTCTGTAACATACATTGAGAGTCTCTCAGGAACTCCACACACTTGGCTTTTTTCCATTTCCCTCCCCCAAGGCTCTCTGGGCCCCTGGTGGTCATTCATGAAAGACTCAAACCCACATGGAGTCCCAGAGGCCTCTGTCTTTCCATTCACTCCGCCCTCAGCACCTGTATTTCTCACTCCCACCCATAAAATCCATTCCTCAACCTGGGTGAATGATAATTAATCAGCACTCATTATCTCTGACATTTGCAAAGCAGAGAATCATCTCCACCACCACCACCACCACCGGAAACAGGAAGCCTGTGACAATGCCCCTAATTCCAAAGCTTTTTCTATTCACATCGTGTGGAATACGAACACGTTGGGAAATGCTTTAGGGATGAGCACAGAGCAGTGTTAAGAGCTCAAGATTTTATCACTAATATTCCTAGCGAGAGACCTTGGGCAATATTCTTCTCCCCGAACCTCAGGTTTGTCATGTGTAATTTGGAGATCATTAATAACACCTACCTGATAGATTCTGTTTCAAGTCCATGTATATAGAACATGCAAAGCAGCGCCCAGCAGGTGCTCAGTCTATCCACTGGGTTTGGGCCAAAACAAAGTCATTTCTAATAAACAGGGCAGGCCTAGATGATACACAGGCCTACACAGACATAAATTCTGTCTTCAGGTCACAGTCTGGTCTCAGTCAGGTTATTACCACTCCTGGAAACTCTGTCCTGAAGACTGGGCCCTACAGCAGGTGAGGACAACCAGGACTGTCTATGCATTCCAAAGAGCCACTCTAGACACACTTCCAAAAGAGATGTCATTTGTGCACACTTCTGCCTTAAGTCATCCAGGGGATGACGGAAGGGAAGAGGTGAGGAAACCAACAGGCTACCACGGGGACAACCATCAGGCCACCAGCCCTCCCTGCACCCTTCCACCCTGGGCAGTGCAAACACTCCAGTGTCGCTGGGAGTGGCAGGAAATGACAGAGGAAAGCATCCGGGTCGCCTGTAGATGAGGCAGAGGCCCTCTCGCTCTCAGCCCTGGTACCATCAGCACCCAGACCAGGGGTGAGCCCTGGCCTCATTAGCATATTGGAGACTTCTTCACCTGCAGTGACGACAGCTGACTTCACCCACGAGACACTCATCGTCATGCATTTTCTGGCCACCACTAAAGAATCACTTCAACAGCACAGAGCAGTTCAATTCCAAAGACTCGGGGCCCAGGGACTTTTCGGTGCATTTCTCTCTCGCCCCTCAGCGGATGTTCTACGGGAACCCGGGCAGGGGGAGATTACATGGACATCAGTGCATTTGCCCTCCACCGACAGCTCTGAGAATGAGCCCGGCTGGAGAAAACTCTGGCTGGAAGCTGGTCTGCAGGAGTCTGGAGAGTGTCAGTTCAAACGACCTCTCGCTCTTCTCCCCTTGAACAGAGCTGTGCTCACAAAATTAGAGAACTTTAGCACTGAAAGAGGACTCGGACAACATTTAGTCCGAAAATTGAGAGTTGAGGATAATACTTTCACATCTCACCATGTTCCAAAAAGTAACGTAGTAATGAGTACCAAAAGCCTTCAAAAATCCCCAGCCCCTGATCCATTGATTCTGTCTCTAAGAATCTATGCTAAAGCAAATACTTCAAGGAAACAAGAACAACAAAAATCAGATCAAAATGTTCATTGCAGCCTGATTTCTTAAGCACTCGATTAAAATGATGCGCCCTGGCCTGTTTGGCTCAGCGGTTAGAGCATCAGCCCTCAGACTAAAGAGTCTCAGATTGGATTCCGGCCAAGGGCACAGACCTCGGTCCCTGGTCAGGGTCATGTGGGAAGCAACCAGTCAATGTGTCCCTCTCATGTCAATGTTTCTCTCTCTCTCTCTCCCTCCCTCCCTCCCTCCTTCCTACACTCCCTCCCACTCTATCTGAAGATAAATGGAAAAATATCCTCAGGTGAGGATTTAAAAAAAAAAGAAAAACAGTGAAGCAAAGTAAGGTAGAAACACAAAAAGGAATAGTATGTGTTTGTTGAAAAGAGTATTTAACAATATTTTAACCTGTGAAGGAAAAGTTATATAAAGTTAAATTAAAAAAAATAAGGTGTATATAAAAATTATATGTAATATGTTTCCAATTTTGTTTTTCAAAAAATGCAGAGGGGAAAAAAAGACCACAGTCCAAGAATTAATGGGAAGTAACCCTTGATGGTAGATGGTAGAATTTCGGTTGGTTTATTTTCCTGTCTTTCTATATTTTATACATTCTCGACAGTAAAAGGATTCTGACTCCATTGTTTGTTGCTGTTGACAGCTTCCGAGCCCAGCACGCTCTGGTCCCCTTCTGTCACACACCTGGGTGAGCAGAAAGAAAACCCAGGTGTCCCTCCATTGCCACGGGCAGGAAGCTCAAACCCCGCAATCCCCAACCTACATGGGGGAACCCTCACCCCTCCTCTGCACAATAAAAGCCGACTCCATCTCCTTAACCCCCTCCTCTTTAGCTGTTTTTGGACCAGCTTGGGAGCCTGCCATGCTCCCCCAGAAAGCTTCATTATATGAGTAATAAACCTTCACACCCTCCCGACGGACAGGTGGCATCAGCAGCCTCAACACCAAACCAGACTTTGGGTGGCAGAGCATCCCACTTATGTCGAGTGGGCACAACATCTACAATGGGCATGTCTTACTTTCATACCCAAAACTGCAATATTGTTTTTAAAAGATTAAGCTATAACTGTCATAGCCAGTTTGGCTCAGCGGTGGCCCACAGACCAAAGAGCTGCGGGTTCGATTCCAGTCAAGGGCACACACCTTGGTGGTGGTTTGATCCTCGGCCCTGGTTGGGGTTGTGCAGGAGGCAACCAACCAATGTTTCTTTCTCTCTCTCTCTCCCTCCTTCCCTCCCACTCTATCTGAAAATCAATGGAAAAATATCCTCGGATTAAAAAAAAAAGTCACAAAGGATTAAAAAAAAAAAAATTAAGCTATAACCTTTCATGTCAGGTCTACAGAATTTTGTCATTTGAAGGAAAAAAGATGTTCTTAAGGCAGTAGGTAACGAAACAGGAGAAGTCATAAGGCATCACCTTACAATCACTCAAGAACACATGTGTCTAGAAGAAGCATCACCTTCTGTTCTGGGACTAACTATAAAACGGAAGGAAAAGAAACATACCTGGACTCAGAAATTGGCCTTCTGTAAGCACATCTCCAAGGGTGACGGATAAACACTGGTATTTGGGTCTCTGCCAGCACCAGAATCTGTTTTTCTTGGTCACCAGACTTAGAAGTTGTAACTTATCAGAGTCGTTCAGGTTTGATACCGCAATCAGGTTCCCTCCATCATCAACTTCTCTAAGAAAATTCCTTGTTGCTTTGGCAAACATTTTGAGAACTCCAGATTACCTGAAAAAATAATGTCACCCCCTAATTAAATCAGTCATGGTTTTGTGACTTTTTTCCCCCTAAAATCACCTGATTTCTCCTTAGCATCAGTCAGTATACATGAAAAAATACCTCTCTCTAGAAAACCCTCTAGCTTGAGTTTAGTAGATAATAAAGAAATCAAATTGAAATACTGAAAAGGAATCTGTGTATAAGTCAGGATAGGCGAGGTTATGCTTCTGAAACAAATAACCTCTAAATCTGAGTGGTTTATGACAATAAGTTTATTTATTTCTCACGTTACACGTCCAGTGTAGAAGGACAGGAGAGCTTGGCCATCATAGCCATTCAGGGATCCGGACCGAAGGGGCAGCCGCCACCTTCAGCATGCCAGTCATCATCCAACAGGAGAGAGTTCTGGAGAGTCTCGCACCAGCCATGAAATGCTCTGGCCCCAGACTGACATACATCATGTCTCCTCACAGTTTGTTAGAACTAGTCACATGGCTTCAGCCGGTCATAATGGTCAGGAAATACAATCATACATCAAGTATTTGGAAGGTAGAGACTTGGAAATACCTGTTGAACAACATACTGGCTACCCCAATTTGTATCATACTTATGACCACTCTATGAAGAGTCGAATGTGCTTTTTCTCTACACTCTGTGATGTCCCCTATTCATAAATGGAAACTAGTTATTGCTTTTTAACCCAGAAATGAAGGCCCAGTCACTCTTCAGCTGGCGAGATTGGTGACCAGCAAGATCGTGATGAACAGGAGACACGGTTTTGTGTTGAGATGCCCATCACCACTTGATTGACAGACCTGGAATTGTTTTTCAGGCTCTGGGATTGGCTCCTGCAGGGTTCTGGGGTGGGGAAAGGCAAAGGACAAGGATGAGGGGCCTTCAGTCCAGGTCTGGGGAGGAGAGACTTTTCCATGAAATGACCACTGCTGTGCCCGTGAGCAAGACCCAGGCCAGAACAAAGAATGCTTCCCATAAACACCCCCAGGGACTATCTGATCATGTTGAATGCTTTCCTTCTGACACAAACCAGTACCTCTCCCACGTCCCATGGGTGCTAGTTCCTGGAACAGGCCTTGTAAGGCATGGAAGGCATTTTTCCGCACCTGGGATTGATCACGTAGCATCTATCCTGCCCTGTTCTATATAATTCTTTGGCATCTGTCTAGTGGCACAGAAGATACCCAGGTCATCTTGCAGTCACCCCAATGCATCCCGTAAGTTTCCCTGAATAAACTTAACTGCCAGACTGGAGTGGCCTGCCTCTTCCTTTGGTCTTTCTCTGCCCTCCGCTTACAGAGGTAGATTTTCAGTCTCAGGCTTTTCCCAGGGTCTGCGTGTACAAATAAGGTTCTGAAGATCCACGCCTCCCCTGCTGCCCCCACCCGGAGCAGCAGAAGCCATGGGTGGGGTGGGGCTGGATAGAAAGCAATGTGATCAGAGTGGTCACTTAAAAAGACCTTTTGGATGCAAACTAGGAAACAGGTTTGGAGACGGACAACAAATGTTGAACTACGTCAGTGGCAGAAGGACAGAAAAGATACTGGTTTGGTGGTTTCCCCAGACTGTGGTTGGATGTGAAGATGCCGAAGAAAGAGAGGACACTCCCTAAAATACCCTCCAGGTAACCCAGGTGTGGCTTGGCTGATGAGATGGAGATGCTGGTCACCAAGAGAGGGGATTCAGGGGGAAGCAGACTGGCGGGAACATGTACCTGCTGAGAGTGCATCCAGGATAAGGTGCAACGGGAATTTGCCAAACACAGGAGGAAAGAACTTTTAACAAAACAAGGTCTCTCCAGTGATCTGTGGGAATTCACCCTGCTGGTCCATGAGAGGAGCTGCAACAGAACCTGCCTCAGTTTACCACTGGTGTCAGGATCTCTATTTTTATGGTTTCTTTTCTGGAACAACCTGCAAGGAAGTTCATTAACTTGTTGTCAGATCAAACAGGTTTCTGAAGGAGCCAAACCAGGCCTGCCATCGCAAAACAAAGCAAAACATAACAAAACCCATGTGGGTGAAAAGCAAAGTCTTAGTAATGATACCAACCCTCCCTCCTAAATTATTCTTTTTTTCACCTCACATCAAAGTGGCCACGTTTCCTTCTTGACAGGGTGGGCTGCTTTAGGAAGAGTGTGTGGAGGTGGCCATTGCTTTGTAGGTTTTCATTAGAATCAGACTCATTCAGCCAGGGAACTCAGAATATTCTCCTCGTGCAGTTAAATTAGAGGTTTCTTTTTTATAATGTTTGAATACATGATGTGTTTACATGGCTCAAATATCTAAACTATGTAAAAAGATATACACCAAGAAATCCCATTCCTGCCCAGGTCCCATCTACCCTCTCACCCCTTCCCCTTCGGGTATACTACCTTCATGTATCTATACACAGATACGAGTAAAAGGAGTCTGCACCCCGTTCAGCACCCCGCTTTTTGTCATGTAACAATATATCCTGGAGATCTTTCCATGTTAGTCCCTTCCTCTCTACGGCTGCACAATACTCCATTGTGTGGATATATCATTGTTTAATCTGTCCTGTACTGCCCATCACTTGGGTTATTTCTACATTTTGTTATTATAAAAATGCCACACTAAATCCTCCTGAACATATGTCTTCTTCATACATAGGCAAAGGTAAATAAAGGCAGATTTTTAGAAGAGGGATTGCGAGATCAGTGGGTAAATGCATCTATAATTTACAGGTTGTACCATTTTGCACTCTCACCAATAAGATACGGAAGTATCAGTCTCAGCAACGCTGTATTGTCTAATGGTTGTATTTGTGTCAGTCGCACAGGTGAGAAATGGCATCTCAGTCCAGTTTTAAGTTACATTGTTTTAACATAAACGAAATGAAGCATCTTTTGTTTAAGTGAGTCTATTGTGTATTTCTTTTTCTTCACTGTGTCACTGGCCCATTTTCTATTGTTTCTTTTTCTTTATTCCTAGGAACTTTTGATATAATAAATAGGCAGGATAGAGGCTAGAAATTTAATACAACAGAGTTAGCCATGCATTCTCAAACATCTCAAGTAACTATCAAGCCAGGAAAAGTTAAATAATACGCACAGGGCCAACTGCAGGATCCGAAACCCATGTTGTTGGACACAGACAAGCATGAAACAATCTCAGTGAACTAGAAGCCAGACTTCAGATTCAAATTCCCAGAATGCCCCAACCTGGAAATAGATGAAAATGGCCTCAGGCTAGATCTAGCCCTAAATGCTCCTGGCCCACAGCCCACTGCACCCCACAGCGGCACCACAGACCCTGGGCTCTCACACAGGGCCTTACGGGTCCTATCTGCAAAGCCCCTACTCTCCTGCCATGTGGCTTCCCAGCTCAGAGCAGAACCGGGAGCCCACGTGCATGTGGTAAGGATATGCAAGCTTGGGTCAGACTCCCGGGCAAGGGAGAGACCAAGAGAGCAAGACAGCACAAAGTTAGAAAGCACATGGCCCACTGGGGCCACGGGCTCCTGGGAGCAAGGAGTCCTAAAAACGGTTGCCAAGTAATGACTGCATGAGAAGATACTGTGATCACTAGTGTCCGTTCGTAAGACTGATTCAGAGTGAAGGGATTATCAAATCTTTGTGTTGGAAAGGACCCAGTTCTTTCTAATACCCAGTTCAAGCTTCTCCTCCAGAGCAGCTCTGGTTGACCACCAGGCCTCTGCCTGAGTAGCTCTAGGGGAGAAACGTCAGTGTCAGAACAAGCCAGATCAGGAAGAGGGAGGGGTAGCCTTATGTGGAGTACCTGCTGCGTCAGGCGTGGGTCTCAATCCTCTCTACCCAGTTCCTCATTTGATCTTCACAACAACCCCAAGTAGGCATTGAGCACATTTTACAGATGTGATATTGAAGTTCAAAGAGGTTAAGTAACTTGCCCAACATCACAAGAAAAACAGCAGCAGCCCCGACATCCTGAAGCCGGCCTGGCATTCCCCTGGTGAACGTGGACACTGTCACAGAACATCAACGTCAGGGAAGGCCACGCTAGTCATGACAGATCAAGACCGAAACAAGACCTCTGATAATCTTGTCTGACTGCAGACAAAACATGAACAAACCACAAAAATGACCAAAGGCTTCCGCTAGAACCTCCAGTCCTGGCTGAGTGACTGCTGCTTCTTGGCCAACCACAGCTTCCGTCTTCTCCTTTCAGACAAGATTTAGGAAGAAATTCAATACAATTTCCCCCACTTCCTGGTAGCATCCATCAGAGAAAAGTCCCATTTCCTTAAACTCTCCCTCAAATTGCCTACAAGCCCAAATCCTTTAACTTCTTCCTAACACCCACCTCTGAGACCCCCAGGGGTTCCTCATGGTGTGAGGTCTCCCTCAGTGCAACAAACCCAACTTGTTCACTCTAAGTGTGTTCCTGGAGGGAACTGAATGTCACATTAGAGAATCAATGCTGAGCCCAGATTCCTACTGAGGTCCACCTGCCTCCCAGGCCTGGGTCCTGACCACCCTGCTCTGTTGACTCCTCGGTTTTTTAATTTTATTTATTTTTTTAATTTGGGCTACAAATTACACATTTGGTAAAGTAAAAAAAAATGTGCTTGAGCCCTGGCCGGTTTGGCTCAGCGGTTAGAGCGTCGGCCTGCGGACCAGAGAGACCCCGCTAAGGGCACGTACCTCGGTTGCAGTTTGTCCCTGGCCTGGGTTGGGGTTGTGTGGATGGCAGCCAGTCGATGTGTCTCTCTCACATCGATGTTTCTCTCTCTCTCTCTCTCTCTCTCTTCCCCCTCTCTCCCTCCCGCTCTATCTGAAATGCAAAAATGTCCTCTGGTGAGGATAAAAATAAATTTTTTTAAGAAATGTGCTCCAAAGGGTAAACTTCAGTTATGGTGGATGCAGAAATCATGGCTATGGGACACTACCTAGGGAAACGAGACACTGCTGCACTTGTCCCAGTTCACTTCAGCACAGTTTGAATGATTTTCGGTTTTCTACATCACAAAGTGAAAGTGAGTCTATTGAAACAGAGGTGTCGCCCTTTCTCACCTTTCTTCGGTGCTCACAGCCCTGTACCTGAGCTCATTTTTATAAGAAGAAGACAAATTAAAGGCTGGGTAGCCTACCAATTCTTTCTAAAATAAAAATCATTGTGTGAAATAAAATTTTTAAAATGATGGTCACAAAACAGGCATGGGCTAGAAAAGGGAGTCAGGATGAGGCGGCAAAGGCTTTGGGGAAGTGGAGGGGCAACAAGAGACTAAGAACAGAGAAAAAACCTCCGGTGCCCTTTAGGGTTCAAAAAGAACAAAAAGAAAAGCACTTGGGGGAAACTATAAAGCTTCCTCCGAAAGCAAGGGGCTAAGGGGCAGGCAGGGAGCAGGAGCATCTTTGCCAGGCCTCTCCACCTGCCTGGGCTCACTTCTCCCGCTGCTTTCCTTTATCCGAAGAGCACGGTGGTGGTGGATTTTGAAACCAGTTCATTGACTGTAATTGATTCAGCTTCTCTGGCCGCACCGCACGTGCTTCATTCCACTCTGACCCAGTTGTCTGTCTGTCTCCGGAGGCAGCGATATCAGGACGTGCTCTCGCATCCCGTTCACTCCCGGAACACAGAAGGCTCTCAACGGGGACGCGCTCACTAACGCCCATCAACCAACGCCCCGAAAGGGCGCCCCCCCCCCCAAGAGCGCCCGCTAGTCTTCACCTCTCAGGTGCAGAGGGAAGCGGGCACCAGGGCCCCAGGAAGCCAGGGGAGCAGCTGTGATGTCATCCCACCGGAGGCCGAGAACACCCGGGGAGACCCGGCCTCCCATCCAGACACAGGCGAATGGGGCTCCTTCCGGTGCAGAGACCGAATCCCACGCCCCCCCCCCCCGGCCCCCTGGAGGGGAAACCGGAACAAAGAATGAAGGAGTGGGGAGGGGGTGGTGACGCGGGAAGACAAAGGTACAGTACCAGCTGCCCTTGCAACAACCAGGGAAGAAAGTGGCAGTGGGAAGGGGGGTGGGGGGCAGGGGGAAGGGATGGGGGACTTAGGGAGCAGGACGAGAGGAAGGGGCGCGACGTGGACAGCTGTCCAGCTGCGGGCAGCCGACGGCTCGGCCTCCCCGGGGAGGGACAGAGGAGGGTGTCCCAGAGAGGAACGAGCCTGTGGACGCGCTCCCGCAGCGGGACGCCCGCCCGCCGGCACTTACCTCCCGGGCAGCACTGTCCCCACAGACCCGCTCCGCGCGCGCACGCCGGGTACGGCCGAGTCAAAGATGCCCCGGGGGAGGGGCGGGCTGGGGCGGGGGCTCAGGCTCACAGGGCAGGGCAGGCAGGCGGACCTTGGCTCGTCCCCGCCCCCTGGGGCCAGGGGCTGGTTGGGGCTGCGGGCTGCGGGCTGCGGGCTGCGGGCTGCGGGCTGCGGGCTGCGGGCTGCGGGCTGCGGGCTGCGCAGGCCGGCGGAACGCTACCCGGCGCGGAGGCTGGCGAGGGGCGCAGCGGGCCAGGAAGCCTAGGCGGGGCCGGGGACGGCAGGCTGCGTCCCGAGACCTGCCCGAAGGCCCAGGGTGAGCTGTCCCCTTTCTCCGTGGGACTTCCCCGGGGCCCATCGCTTGCGCCCCAGGGCTCACCCCAGAGACCTCACCTGCCTCCCGCCGCGCCTTGGTTTGAGCTCTGCGCCTGGAAGCCGCCTGAACCCGCCACCAACAGTGGGGCGTGGACTGGCACCGCGGCTTCGCGGTCCCACTGGGACGTCCAGGCCGCTCTAGCCTGACGCCCGCGCCTGGAGGGTCTGGATTTGTGGTGTGACGGTGCCCACACTTAGTCCTGACGCTTATTAGTAATAATTCACGTAACTACATTCTGAGTTCCTCCAGGCAGAATCCCGCATCTCTCACATACAAGATGCTCCATGAACGACGGACGAGTGAGTTTGCGCATAGTTGACGCCCAAAGACTCTTGCTGGTGGCCTGGCTTGAACAGTAGAAGCTTTCAGGCGGTATTTCTGGGCATCTTCTCAGCAGTGCCCTCTGATGAAGGAGAAAATGTTCTGCCCTCTGAGAACTTACACTCGGGACTGTTAAGTTTCATGGCCGCCTTCAAGGCTCAAGAAGAGGCGGGGCTTTCTCTTGGGCCCAGTGCTTTGGGTATACCCTTAGGCTACAGTTACCCCAGCTCCCCGCATTCATCTCAGTAAAGCCTTCCCTGACTACAGGTGCCCCTCAACTTAAGATGGGGTTACATTTGGATAAGCCCATCCCAAGGTGAAAATACATTGAATACACCTAACCTACCAAACATCATAGCTTAGCCTAGCCTGGCTTAAACATGCTCAGAACAGTTGGGCAAAAGCATCTAATACACTGTGTGGTACTAACGTTTTCCCTGGTGGTGGTGTGGCTCACCGGGAGCTGTGGCTGGTTGCCACTGCCCAGTATTACAAGAGAGTGTCCTAGTATGTTCCCAGGTGTAATCAATCCACTCACTGCATATTGCTTTCACACCTCTGTAGAGTAGAAACATGAAAAGTGGAACCATCGTAAGTCAGAGACCATCTGTATTCGAATTCAAAGTACAGATGGTCACCAACCTGCAGGAACTCCTGGTTCTCTCCTGCTTTAGTTTTCTCCTTTCCATTGATCACCATTTGAAGACTATGTGGACACATCATACTTATCTGATAGAGTATTTTATCTGTCCCTTCCCTAGAATGTCAACTCCATGAAGACAGGGCAGAGCTCGGCTGGATGGTTCTTCAGTTCCTTCCATGTGGCACTGACCAGGATCCCTCAGTGGAATTTAGCCAGTGAACCTGTAGTCTGGGGAATCCAAGGAGGCTTTGCCCACATGCCTTAGGCCTTGGCAGGAATGGCCGGAGGGAGCACACAGCTGGGGTTGTGGAGCAGGCCCCCCGCAGGTGCCCTCTTTATCATGGTAGTCTCAGGGAGGTTGGACTGCCCATGTGGAGGCTCGGGGCTCCAAAAGGGAGTGTTCCAAGAAGGAAGGCAGAAGTTCTGTCTGGGACCTAGCCCCTGTCGTGACTTCCACAGCATTCTATTGCTGAAGCAAGGCCCTGTTCAGAGAAGATTATACCTCAATGAAAAACAGCAAAGAATGGCCAGAACTCTTCCATCAACCACACTGGTTTCTATGAAATGCCCTTTTCATAAACAAAGCTAGTAAAAACTGCTATATATTTGTTCGCCGTTCATGTAGAAACATCATTGGCAGCATTAGGATATATGCAGCGAAGACCAGCAGTGTCCACCGGACGCCAGGTGTATGGAAACACTCCCGAGGAAGGCAGTTCCGAGCGGTGCATGCTTTCCTCTTCTCATTGTCATTATTTGTAATGATCGCTCAGCGTCTGATTTTGCTACACTCAGTAAGAGAGGGGTGGAGTCCATGCATCCATTTGGTTAATCTACCAAGCATTTCTTAAACCTACTATGTGTCAGGTATATTAGATACTGAGGATACAATGGTGAACGAGGGAAAATCAGTCCATCCTCTCAGAGCTCAGGAGTCTATCTGGTAAGGCAGACAGAGAAACAATAAGGATAAAGGGTGAGGCGCTCAGTGGTCCTGTGCCATGGGGGGGCTTGGCTGGAGCATCTAACACGTGGAGGAGGAAAAGTATCAGGTCAAGGGGAGTCAGTGAACAGTCAAAGGTAGATCCAGAGTGTGGGAGGTGGAGGTGGAGGAGACTAGTCTGTTCCTTCTAGAACCAGGCTGATGGAAGCTCTGCCCTTTCCACTCAAGGCTGCCAGGGTGGCCCGGGCATGGAGGTCTCTAGCAGAAGAAAAGAGCTTGGAGGCTCCCTCATGGAAGATTTTCTTTTATTTTTAAAAATTGTTTTTCTCTTTATTGATTTTAGAGAGAGAGGAAAAAAGAGGGAGGGTGAGAGGGAGAGAGAAACATCTATGAGAGAGAACATCGATTGGCCCCCTCCTACATGACCCCCACTGGGGATTTGGCCCACAACCTGGACATGTGCCCTGACCGGGAATCAAGCTGGTGATCTCTGGCGCACGGGTCGATGCTCAACCTCTGAGCCACACGGGCTGGGTGCTCACGGAAGATTTTCATGGGCCAGAAACTTCAGTGTACCTTTCTTTGCCCAGAAATCAGTCACATGGTCCCCCTAGCCACAAAGGAAGCTAGAAAATGTGGACTTTGAGGCCAGGAATAAAAGGGGAAATGGGTTTCTGAGAGCAGCAGCAGACCCAACTTGAGGAGAGTCAGATGGCCACCCTGTTTGCAGTTTAAATAATTTATTTTCAGATGAGAGAACACATACTATTAAAAAATTAGACCTTTCTTAATCCTACACCTGGCTTAGAGCATATATAAGAAAACATGGAGAAGCGAGTGATAGAAAGAGATGGTATTTTCATCAATAACAATTATTACAGATAAAACTTTTTACCTGAGTTTTAATTGTCCGGGGAGAGTGAGAATTGTATACACTTTTATTGGGTAAGGTTCTTAAAAAAAGGCTAATTGCAATGGAAAAAAGCAGTCTGTTGAGGAAAAACCGTCTTGGCATCTGACTCAATCTTGACTGGTTGCTAAAAGCACCAGTGAAACACTGTGTTCATCCGAACCACAGATGGGCAGACCGTTCAGAGAGCCGGGCATGGACGCCACCTCTGGGCACCTTTGACACCCTGAGAGTTTACTTTGCTTCGAAATATTGGTAGAGGTGGATTTTTTTTTTACTTAATTCTCACCCAAGGATATGTTTTTACTGATTTTTAGAGAGAGGGGAAGGGGATGGAGGAAGAGAGAGAGAGAAAGAGAAACAATTGCTTGCCTCCTGTAAGTGCCCTGACCAGGGACCAAATATACAACTTAGGTATGTGCCCTGACGGGGAATTGAACCTGGGATGTTTTGGTGTACAAGCCGATGCTCCAACCAACTGAGCCACCTGGCCAGAGCATTTTTTTCCCTAATAGTATACTTTGAAATCTTCAAGCTTCATTTCCCCATGAGAACTGCACCTGCCGTGAGCAGGCTGGTTCTCTGACGAGTCGATGCAGCCAGTGGGAAATGGACACCCGGGGCCTTCGCAGTTCAAGTAGGCTCGCTTTCTGCCAGTACAGCCGTCTTCCTGGGCTAACGTCCTCACATGCAGAGCATCAACACCGTGATGGTGAACGGGTGACCAGATAGCTGGTAAGACATTATTTCTGGGTGCATCTGTGAGAGTGTTTCTAGAAACAGATTACATTGGATCTCCAGGCTGAGTAAAGAAGACTCCCTCACCGACGCAGTGGGCATCATCCAACCTTCAGGGTCTGAACAAAACACGAAGGTGGAAGGAGGGAGAATGTGCTCTCGCTGCCTGAGTTGGGGCATCCATCCTCTCCTGTCCTCAAATCTTGGTGCTCCTGGTTCTCTGACCCTTAGAGTTGAGCTGAATTACGCCACTGGCTTTCCTGGTTTTTGAGCTTGGAGATGGTAGAGATTGGGACTCTCAACTTCCATAATCATGAGAGCCAATTCCTATAATAAATCTATTCATATATAGATATAGGTAAATATCTATATATTGAACCAAACAGAACCAATAGGATATATCTATATATCTATATGTAGACATACAGATATCTTTATAGAAGTACAGAGAAAAATTTCCCCAGGTAATGTTATATATCTATACAGAGATATTGTACATCTGTATATTATACATCTGTATAGATATATCCTATCGATTGTGTTTCTCTGGAGAACTCTAACACACCAAAAACCAACCAAACAGGCAAATGCCATGCCCACGTGGACAGCTTATTAAGTCCTGGCTGATTCAGGATTTTGGAGTTGGCCCATGCACTAAGTTTGGGGCCCATGCACTAAGTTTGGGGCCCATGCCCACCTCCCACTTGCTGCTACCCCTCCTCCAAGCCTCAGTTTTCTCATCTGTAAAGTGGAGATGATGACGCCCGATTCGTGTGGTCACTGTGATTAATCTGGCACCCAATAGATACAGGAAAATGGTTTCCAATTCCTTGGAATTACCTTTCATTCTATAAACATCATCAAGTGCCCACTATGAACTTACATTAAACCATTCCCTGACCTTAAGAAGCCCATAATGACTAGCAGAGTGACCTGCAGGAAAATTCAAAAAAGAACTGTGGGGTTCATAACAAGCCACCCCAAGATATGCCTCCATGGTATGCAGACTACTTTGAGCTAAAGGCAACTTTAGCCCCAGACTCAAGAGAAAATCCTGCCCCTCCCTTTAACTGCCTAGGTGA